AATCAGCATCTCTTCTATTTTCCCAGGCAAGATTTAAAAAATGAGAGAAAGCCGATTGGCTGCAGTGCAAAATCTGCTCCAGATTTTGTCTGCTGCAGTTTTAATATACTCCCCCCACTGTGTAGAGACGTTGATGATTTGCAGGACCTTAGACCACTTCAGAGGAGAAGGAGAGACATTGGAAGGACCGGTCTAAGAAGAATCTGGCTCGGAGCTTCCAGTGAGTCTGTAGCGCTACCCCCGTAGGAGCCGCTGAATATACTGGGTCTTTCTTTCCTCCTGCACCAATGTACCGCCCAAATGTGGATCCACAGCACACCAACACACCTTTAAAGGGGTTTTATAACAGTTTAATGACTAGTAAAGCAACGTCATACAGTAGGGCACTGAATGGCTCACCAATCACAACAACAGTCTGACACCCGGCAGCCGCGGCTATCTATTGCATGCACAGAAGCCTGCTGTCGGGTCCCGGTCCGAGTGGCTCCAGGTCGGGTGCCGGTCCGAGGGACGTACAATGTCCCAGTACGAGCCAGTGTGAGCGGACGCACACGGAGGGGACATCCCGGCAGTATCACTGGGCCGCGCAGGCGCAGACGCCCTGTGACCCGGCGGGATCCGCCCCGCACGGCGTGACGTCATTACACTGGCGTGCGCGGGTGACGTCATCACGGCAGCGCACGCGCAGTACACGCCTTCAGCCTATTTAAAGCCCCACAGGGCTTTAGATCATTGCTGTGTGATTTTCAGCCAGCACCAGTCGTCTGTTGATCTTGCTCCTGTTTGATACCTGTGACCTGGCTTCCTCCCTGACTATTCTCCTGGATTACCCTTCTGTACCTTGTTGCCTGCCTCCTACTGACCCGGCTTGCCTCTTGACTCTCCATTGGATTCCGCCTTGTACTTCGCTGCCCGCCTGTTACCAACCCGGCTTGTCTGACCTCTCTATTTGCCTTCTAGGATCCTGCACGGCTGCCTATCCTGCCTGCACACTACCTGTTGCTGACACCTGGTATCCTGATCCGGCACCCGTGCACCCCCTGCCTGACACACACTGTCTCCAACCCAGTGCTCATCAGACAGGGTTGCAAGGGAGGTCCTCCTCATCATCTCGGGCCCACACCGCGGACCTAACACCTGCAATGTCACAATGTCACAGATAATATACTTATAAAAGTTGCAAACAACACTAATATCTCTACTTAATAGTATCTACCCCACTCTAAACTACTTGCCAGTAATACTGTCCTAGGCTAGCCAACGTTGGGGCCCATGCTGTGTAGCAGATGTTGAAAAGTACACTTGTTGTAATGGCCAATGGCCTCTCACCACTTCCAATGTCACTTTGGAAAAGAAAGATGGTTGTCTGCGGAAGGTGAACGTCCCTCTTTCCCTTATCATCGGGGAATCATTCTTTCATCCACATACGGGGAAGAGATATTCAATCCACAGCTAATTGAACTGTGCGTCCGATTACAGTGTATACATACTGAAATGTCCCTGTTCACTGGTCTATGTGGGGAAAACCATTAATGTTTTTAAAAAACGATACCAAAAACATAAAAGTGACATCAAACTAGCAATTGAACAAAAAAGACTAGGAAAGGACATGGACCCAAATAAACCGATGGCGATACATTTCGCACAATCAAATCACCAAACATATGAGCTTAAAGCAATGGTTATTGAACACATTCCTAGACCGCATAGAGGTGGTAATAGAGATAATATACTGTTGCGCAGGGAAGCATACTGGATACACACTTTAAATACAGTAAAACCAAGAGGCCTGAACTCCTCTTTATCCCTATCTTGTTACCTGGTAGAGTAGTTGGTAATACTTATTATTATTCTCTCATTATTTTTTCTTTTGATGCCCAGATGATTACCTATATTTATATACATTTATATTTTAATATTTTAATAATATTTTATTAATTAATTCTCAATCTCCTATTTAATTAGGGACTTATACTGATACTCTAATATACATTACAGACCCCTTATATGAAGGATAAAATAGTTAAAAATATTTAAAGATTACTCAAGGATATAGGTTTATATTACTTAAATAACTCCTTCAGCTACACATTCAACTATCTGGTTCCCGAGTTGGTCCTTTTTTTGGTTTTCACGTTTCATGTTGATATGTCTTGTTGTCCTTGTGTGCTGTACTGTTTGTGTATATATGTAGTTAGTACTTTCTCTCACTCTTTATTTCATTCACATTCTTTCAATATTGTATTATTATTTGTTTATGTTTCTTACTGGCTTATGCATATTATTAATATCTGTTTTCCTATACTGATTCTGATCCAAATGTTATATGTGATTATACTATTTCCCCACTCTGAGGTTATGGTGCTGCGCCTGTGTAATGATAATACTTGTACGCTTGCTTTTTCCACACTCAGCCGATATACCGGCTGGCGCATGCGCACTAGAGTCGTGGAGAATTGTATCTCCCCATCACCCTGGTTACTAATGACGTCTATCGTATGTGACCAACCAGGACAGAAGGCGACGCTGTGTATACCACAGAAGGATACCGGATCGCAACATTGCCTCCCATCTTCTACATTATTAGCAGATCGCCATGATGACAGACATTACACCGCCGCAGCTTCCATCCTAAACCTCAGACTGGAGATAATAAGCAGTAAGTGACATAAATAGTTTATATGTGTGCTTTTTAAACATGATTATGTATTTTAAAAATGGCGTTTTTCCCGCCGTTCTGACATCACTGGGGGGGTGTCTATCGATAATTGGTTCACATTATGGGGTATATATGTGGTGTGTGGACACCATCACATTGTCACATCTTTTGCCCTGAGGAAGGGACCCTGCGTTGCCCCGAAACGTTGGCTGTTTGACTATTGTGACACGTATGTCCAATAAAAAGGACTTATCCATTTGAAATTACTTTGAGTGCTGGTAACCTACTTTTTACCAATTACATCTTTCCTCAGACCGACATCTGTGAAATGGGTGCAGTCATCTAGGGCCTCTTGCAGGTCGTCTCAGCTCGTCTAGGGTACTGGGCAACGATTTCCGTCAGCTCCGCTCCACTCACTCAGCTGGGCAGGCTGGATTACTCCGTTGGCTGGATCGGCCGTGCGACCAGGCCACGATATCCCCACCGCTGCCTCATCACTAGGCCTCAGTTCTGGCACTCGAATACAGTCCCTCTGGTCCAGCAGATGAACATGTCTTTCAGAGCACTGCTGCACAGATTCTGTGGGTCCCAGTCTGTCAGTGGCAACCACACAGCTCTGTTACATGCAGTCCTAATTCACACAGTGCCACACACAGGCCTGTCCTCTCCAGATTCCCCAGTCAGACTGGGCATGCTCAGTAGCTGCCGTTCATAGCCCTCCCCCTTCCTCTTGCACAGCATCCTGGAAGTTGCAGTACCCAAGAGCTCTATTAGCAATCTTCCAGTGTCACTTTGCACCAGTGGCGTAACAACCAGGGGGGCGTTCGCCCCGGGCGCATAGATGGCGGGGGGCATCTGCCGCGAGCCAGGCCGACTGTCACCAGAACAAGGCACCAGGCTCCGTTATGGCAGATTATGCGGCCGAGGCTCCATTTGCACTGCAATCCCCACAAGTCTCCGCCTCATAACACACACAGAGACACGTTAACTCTTTACAGTTAGGAACACAAATCTCTATAGTAGCACATATCTACATCTATATAGGGGCTACAAGTCTAACTTTTTTTTTTTAACCTAGACACAAATTAGCAGTTAACCCTTGCAGTGCAGAGGTAGGCCCACTGCAAAGGTTAATACAAAAAATCCTGGAGTTCTTTAAAAATGCATTCAAGTACCATACCTATTAACACAAATGTCCCTTACTTGGGTATCACTCAGCTGTAGAGCCTCAAATCATCCCTAAATTGGTGCCGACACCGTCCTTCCTACTAGAGGGTTGCTACTTTTGTTCCCCATGGTCCCTGTGTGTGTTGTAAAGTAGCCACTGCTCCAAGCTTGCTCCCGTGATGGAATACCATCTCACGTTTAGTTTACTAATCAGTATTGAAATTAAAAAAGGAGCAAGCATGGAGCTGTGGCTACTTTACAACACACACAGGGACCATGGGGGAACAAAAGTAGTCACCCTCCAGAAGAAAGGACAGTGTTAGCAGGAATTCAGAAATTATTTGATGATCTACAGTCAAGTAAGAGACATTGGGGGGAATTTATCAAAACTGAAGCAGATTTTCACTGCAATCAATCATCTTTCTCTGTCTCATTTTCAATCTTACCTGAGCAAAATGAAGAGAGATGCCAATTGGTTGCCATGGGCAACTGCTCAAGATTCCGTTTTCTTAAGTTTTGATAAATTCCCTCAACTCTTGTTATTAGTTAAGAAACTTGAATGTATTTTTAAGATATAACGTCTGAGTTTAGGTGTGTCCTTTGACTATATAGTGTCTCTTTCTTATCCCAGAAAGTTGTGAGGTATGAAAAAAATTTGAATTCGTTTGTCACTTCACAAAACCCTGTTTTCTAAGCAGAATCATTTTCCAAGCAAAGCACGGTCTTTCTTGGCTCCTGGTACACAACCCAAAAGGCATGAATCACAATGTAGATCTCTCAATGTGGAAGACATTACGCTAAAAAACAGTTTCCGTAAATTCCAACATGGTCGGAGGGGGGGGGGGCAAAGGTCGACAAACCCATTTCTGAAAGACTATCGTTTCCTCTATAGACCTCTTATGTGACTCTGAATTTACACACATTTTTGTCTAATACATCATATTCCACCATCCAAACCACTCAAAGACATACAAACAGTCATTTGTTTGGAAGCCTTGTTTCATAACTGCTATTGAATGAACTTGAAAGTCTCGCTGCGCCTGCGAACAGACCAAAGAAGTCAGGAAAATCTCGGGATGTGTGACGTCATCCGCCCCTTTAACTCGCCACTGACTCCTGAGCAGGAAGGGGGCGGCTCCTCCGTGGTTCAGCCTGGATTAGGCTTAGTGCGGGCTGTATTAGTCTTCTATATGTCTTCAGTGATACAGCGCTGAGCTTTTCCACTGCGCAATCACCATGGACTGTGATCCCTAATGAGTGCCAGGTAAGTCAGCAAAATCACAAGTGCGTTGTCTTCAAACCAATACAAAGCTTATGCTAACCAGTCAGATGTGCATATACGAGAATTTACCCACGAGTAGAATCGTTTCCATTGGCAATTGAAATGTTTTATATTTAGGTTTGCTTTTTATTGTTATTTATGTTTACTTTAATAGTTGCTTATTTAAAAAGGCTGAAATCCTTTAGACCGTTTATGCCGTTCGATCAAGAATAGTGCGAAACTGTTGTTTTAAATAGCATTGCTCTCCAAATAGCATTCACCATTGTTTAGGCACTGCTGTGGGGTTGGAATGGTTAATTCGTTGTACAGTTTGATTGTGCTGGCTGATTGCTGAGCATGCATTGTTTTATTTGATAGTCCAAGCTGATGTGGAGTTATCTTTGAAGCCCCCCCTGCCCCCCAACAAGTGTGATATACAAGCCAAGAAGAAAAAAAGCATCCAGGCGCATGTGCTGTTTGACATCCAACACCCACTACACAAGAGGAGCTTTGGTTAAACCCCTGGCTGGGCACAAACCACCCCCTCCCCCCTGGAAGTTTTCTGAAAAGAATTGGAGTTCAGGCACACCTCCTCTGATCTGCTGTCTGGTCTGATTTCTTGGACCTTGGATTAAAGTAGCAGTTTTGGACCAAAAATATCTATTGTAAACTGGTTCTTTAAGGTGGGTAATTTTTAAACTTCTATCAATGCCTCAATAATTTTATTGTTTTTGGGGTGTTTTGTTTTTTTAAGTTTTCTTGCAGCAGTAATGCAAGTGGGAGCGACGGGACGACTATAGACTGACTTTGATTTCCAAGTGCAGGAAAAGTCCAGGATGACTCCTAAACCTTTGTTTTTAGTTGTTGGGTTTCTTTGCTGTATGTATTTATGCTCTCTTGGATTATGTTGTAACCAACATATTGTTAAAGTTAAATAGATGTTTGTTTTTAACATGAAACATTTCGTCGCTATTCTATTGGTTTATACAGCAAATAGTAATGATGTGGAAAGTACTGAAACTGGCTAGTTGAAAACACATAGGGTAAAGTGACACTAAATTTATGAGTTAAATCTTAAAAATGCATTCAAGTATCTTAGGGAGTTTGGAGCAGTGGCTACTTTACAACACACACAGGGACCATGGGGAACAAAAGTAGCCACCCTCCAGAAGGAAGGGCAGTGTCTGCACCAATTCAGAGATGATATGAGCAGCTACAGCTGAGTGATACACAAATAAGATATATTTTTTTAATAGTTAAGGTACTTGAATGCATTTTTAGGGAGTATGAGTGATTGCCACACAACTGGATTAGCCTGATTGCATCCCTTCCCTCTCTGAGCAGAAGGATTACATATTTTGTCAGCAGTAGGTGTTGCCAGTGATGCAGTCAGTATAAAGAGTTATGCATTTTAGAATAATCTTGAACCAACATATGTGTTTTAATAGTGAACAGAACGCTGACACTGTGCTTGCTAGCTGGGAAGGATCCACACAGTTTTACTTGTAGACTAGGCTGAATTGCTGTTCTACATTATAGCCAAGAGGCTTCCTGAATTCTAGTCTGCTGGGGCCCAGCGCAGGGAGTCAGACTAAGAGATCATTAACACAGGAAGTCAGTGCTGATGTGGTGTTGGGAATTGCAGATGATTAGGAATGTAATGGAACCAGAATCAATGGCCTGGGCAACATGTGAACCAGAAGGTGGCTTATTGTGTCCTAATTAGCATGAAGTGTAAGCAGCATAGCTGGAAGCTTTCCTCATGGCCTTGCCTTGAGACGTTTATCAGATTCTGTGGCTGTAACCATGCTCTTCGCAGTAACTATAGAACCAGTTTACAGTCCTGACTGTATTTTAATTTGCATTTTCTACTGATTTATAGGGTTTTGAAATGGTATAGAGGGTGGTGGTGTTTTTTTATTTTTGGCTAGATGGGCTATTTTAGTATGGTGTTTAATAACTTCAAAGTAGAAACATCCTTTTTAATTGTATTATATGCGATCTAAAAGAGAGGTGTTTTCAGGGACTGATCAGAAGTATACTCGCACATACAATAAAATTAGAGGTCAACTAATCAAAATGAAACCTGTAAACAGATAAGGTGATGGCAGAGATCTGCCAAAAATAAAAAATTGCGGGAAGACTTATAGCTGGCTATATATACAAGAGATAATGGTTGCCCAAATTATGGTGAATATAAAGTAAAAAATAAGCCTAAAAGAGACTAATGCAGCCACCACATCTAAGAATTGGTAAGCCGAAATATATAAGCATTCTGCTTTTGTGGTTGGATAAGTTTTAACCACTTGAAGGGTGTTATACCCCTTTCCTGGTCAGGCCATCAAATCGCAGAAAACTACCACACCTAAAATTGGCCATAGGCGACACTTTAAACGCTTTTACCTCTCATAGGTTTAGTGTTATCAGTAATTAACGGCCCTAAAATTATTGCTATCACTCCGACGTTCGCGGTGATATGTAACGTGCGGCGTAAAGGGCGCAATCGTCATTTTTGCACATAGGCGCACCCAACGCATTTTCGCATGTGGGGGGGGAGGCGGGGGACTTTAGACATTTTTTTTTTTTTGTTATTTTCCTTTTTTTTTCCATTTTGTCACTATTTTCCTAAGCTTCTTTTATGCTTTAATTTTTTTTTAACTTTATTGCTATCGCATAGAAACCCCCTATGTGATAGTCAATTCACATAACAGGTCCTTTTCATGGAGACATCAGGGGTTTCCAAGACCCCTGATGTCACCTAGGGACCCCCAGAGAAGCTGATGAAGCAGAGATCGTGTACTGATCTTCCTTTTGATCTCCAGTAACATAGTCGCCGTGCCGGTCCCAGCCGCACCGGGCACAGCGGATCTCGGGACCGGCAGCGAAGGAGGTACGGGGGGGCACACACCCGCAGCTAGTACAAACGATCGGGCGCCTCTATATGGCTTTTTTTGCATTTCTAACAGTTTCCCCACTAGTGTGCGCGCTGGGCGCCGCACACGACTGGGGGGAGGGGCAGGACGTCTAAAGACTCCCTCCCGCTCCTAGAAGTCTCCTGTCCGGCCATTTAGGAACGGCCATGGACAGGAGGTGGTTAAAGTAGTATTGAAGGCAGGGCATTTTTTACCTTGATGTATTCTCTGCATTAGGGCTGCAACAACTAATCGACATAATCGATTATAATCGATTATTGAAAAAGTTGTCCGCATATTAAGGTAAAAAATGCTCAGTACTTTTCTGTGTCCCACGTTTCAACCACACTTACCTGTAAAGAGGACTGACACCACCACTGGTACCCAAAGCGATCCTCTGTTCCCGAACTTCCTGCTTGCTGGGAGAGAGAGGATACTGGGGGCAGCGGAGCCATAGGCCATCAATCAACCGTTTTTTGTTTTTCTTCGAGACAGAAGTAATTTCTGAAAGATTCCAGCAAGTGCATACCATTTGTATTTTTTCCCCTTATTTTCATATTTCTTTCCAGAACCAAAAACATCTGGTTGCCTACCAGATTGACCCTGTACAATTTTTGTGGTAGCGATGCTGGACTGTAAGCTACATGTGGCATCAGAGAGTGATGTACATGGGTTATTGCTTTCTGTAAAATGCTGAAGCATCAGCAGTATAACAGGTAAAATGGTGTTCCCATGCCTCTGGTCACCAGTTTTATAGCTGCACCAAGTAAAGAAATGCATTTAGATACAGTGAAAATCTGCTATGATCTGCATCATGAGGATGGTAGGATGAGCCCAAACATTCTTGTTCAGCAAGGCACTGTAAGAAAAATGCTCTGTAATCCCCTGCACAGAAAGTTTGAAAAAGAAAGATGCAGCATTGTAAGCCTATCAGGCTCTAAGGCCCCGTTGACACTTGTGTGATTTGCCCTGCCTCTGGGGTTGTGCTGCAATGCACAGCAATGGAAATTATGTTAATGGTAACTATTCATATCAATGCAATGTGGTGCATTATAGACACATGTACATGTTGTTTTGACACATTTATGCTGCATTTTTGTGCTTAAAGTCTCCTCCAAAGAAGACTGTCTAATGATGTCACAGATTTTGCTTGTCATTCGCCAAAAGAATAATGCATAAAGCCGCATCAAAAGTGCATCAGAAATGTGCATAATTGCACTACAAAAAAAGTACTGAAAACGCATAATCCTGCAGCAGTACTACTGTGAACCTTAACAAATACTTTGCACAGGGCTGTTATTGTCACCCTGAGTGAATGCTGACAGGAGGAGAGAGCAGAATGATGACTACATCATTCTGACAAGGCTTCTTAATTTAACAATCCTGTAGCTAGGGTGTACATGAAACATGGTCACACACTTATCTGAATCGTGGGCTTCTGCTCCCCGTAGGCTGCTGCTGTGTTTTGAATTTGGCGTGGCTGTGCATGGCTCTGCTCATACAGCCGCACCATCCATTCCGAGATGCTTTGAAATGGAGAAACAGCCACCTTGGCAATGGGACTTGTATTTCCCATAACGTCTTCCAGGACAGCATCACGAGATGGAATGAGGGAGTGGAGGAGAGCAGGGGCTGACTGGCATCTTTTAGCCAAGGGGCAAGTACAACCCAGAGGGCCATGGTGCAGCAACTTGACCCCCCTCCCGCTCTGACTCTTCCCCTGCCTGCCACTTTTGCCATCCATGTAACACTAGTGTGAATAGTCGGGTGATGCGAGGACTCACTAGTAAGTCCATAAAAGGGGTGACTGGCTGGGGGATGGCACTCTCTTCCCACTGGGCTCCCTACATAGTTCTGGCCTTACTCCGCTCCATGTCCGGTACTTAGGCACTCTCCCCCACTGTAGACCGCCGCTGGCTGTCCATGCTTCTGAGCTGTGGGAGGGGCCGGACAGTGTCAAAGTCAGTTTTCTACAATGTCTCTCCTATCCTATACATTTTTTTGAACCCGTCACTTATGGTGGAGCCGCGTTATGCGAATCAGCTGTGTTCATGACCCCCTTTCTTAATGCGCACCTGGAAGTGACGCGGCAGAGACATTTATGGGTTGAGGGAAATTATAGTAGTGGAGGGATGCATCGTCAGTGTGCTACACGGGCGCTGCAAACCTGGTAGTTCTGCCACTAACTCAGGGTGTCAGTGTAATGCAGAGTGCAGAAGTCAGCGGTGTGACGCACAGTGCAGAGGTCAGCAATAAAGCACAGTGCAGAGGCCAGCGATGTAATGTTGAGGTCAGAGTTCAGTATGTACGCAGTGCAGAGATCAGCGGTATAATGTAGAGGTCAGTATGTACGCAGTGCAGAGGCCAGCGGTGTAATGTGTGAGTCAGGGGTCAGTATGTACACAGTGCAGAGGCCAGCGGTGTAATGTAGAGGTCGGAGGTCAGTATGTACGCAGTGCAGCGGCCGGCGGTGTAATGTAGAGCAGTGCTCCCCAACCTTTTTATCGCCGCGGACCGGTCAACGTTTGATAATTTTACCGCGGCCCGCTGAAGGGGGGGGCGGGGGG